TAAAGTCACCCACCGCTAGCCCAAATGCGTTTTCTTGAGCCGCCAAAAATGCATTTAGTTCCAAGACTGGTCCAGACAATAGCTAAATAAAAGTTAATTGGGAAGACAATGTTCTTTATGAAAGTCACCTACCACTAGCCCAAATGCGTTTTTGAGTCGCCAAAAACGCATTTAGCTCCAAGATTGAACCCTGCATGTTTCACAAACCCTGGGAACTCCAATGTGATACCTTCATCACCGACCTTTTGTCTGGTTACTCACATGCAATTTCGCTCTTCTTGAAAAAGCATCTACACTACACTATTAATAACTTGAAATCTCAACCTTCAAATCCTCCAACAAACCCTTGCGTGTTTTTTATGGTCGCGTTTACTAAGTACTAATTCTAGCTGCGTGTTTTTATGCCTGGCGTTTACACAACACACGTCTTTTTAACAACTTAGCGCCTCCAACCTAGTAGAGGCAAAGTGATGCATGCAAAGGTGCCAATCAACAATTCATCACCCTTTTGACCAAGGCACGCTCCATGTACTTCATGTTGACAAAATAGTCCCGACAGCTCGCTTCAAGGATCGTCTGACTTAGCAAGGATGCCGAGATTTTCTCCTGAAACACCCAGTCCTGGAAAGGCAACACGGCAGCCGGCCTGGTCTTGGACCTACAAGGCTAGCCTTGTTTGAGCATGTTTGAGAGGCGTTTCTACAGTGCATTTTCTACTTACAGTAGGTGCATTCGTCCTGTTCGCTGTTTCTGGATGGAGTTCCCGGGTCAGGGATGCGTTTCCACTTCCGGTCTCGCAAACCTCCCATCTTTGGCATGCCAGTGTTAAGACAACCTTCTTGTAAAAATGGCTTCACAACAACTCCCCCTTTTCATTAAATAAAGGCTCCTTTTGGAAAGCGGGTTCTGCGGAAGGCGGCTGGCTGCAAAAGGCAGAATTCCATTCAGGTGGTTTTGGTGGTAGTCAAGTCCGTGTCCACTGCGCCATGCCTTGTCAAGACCTGGCACGTCTCGTTCCTTCAAAAGAAACCTTTTCTCCCTCCATTGACGAGATGCTCTGCCTCAACCGGACTCTTCACCCATTCGCAAAAGGATGTGTACTTGCCGTCCCAAGGAATTCACCGGTGTGGTACTTTTCACCCAACACCCCCTTCTTTCGAAACAGGCCGAACGGTACACCGATCCAGAGGGCCCGGAGAGGCTGCCACCGGAGGGCCTTCAGATTCCACTGGCGCTCGGGCTGCGCTTCGTGGAGCAGATGTTGAAACTCGCGAAGCAAAAGCAAGCGCTCCAGTTCCACCACAGGCATGCCTTGGGACACCCGTTCCCCCGAAAAGGCGGGCCAAGCGAAGCGGGTCGCTTGAAAAGCCATCGGAATCCATCCGATGGAGAATGACAGGCAAAAGACCCAAACGGTGAGCCCATGTAAGGTTTTCCAACACTGCTCCCAAATCAACGTCGCTGTGGGTGTGTCACCTCAACCGTCGCCAATGGCCAAAGCCCAGGTCATCTGAGATCCCAACTCGGCATGTACTTATAGATCCGATTTCCTCACAGCATATGGTCACGTCAATCTCGGTCAAGCTCGGCCCAACCACAACACTTGGCAGCTTGCATTAAGAGAACTTGATTTGTTGCAATTCCAGACGAACAAGAAGCCATTCTGGTACGATCGAAAGCTACGATCGATGTGCATCTCACAGAGATTATGAGAGGTGCTTCACTTGTTCATCCAGAAGAGCAGGACTCACTCATGACTCTAGAAAACAGAGTCAATAAAAACCTTTTTGCCCGTGCAATGTCAAAAAAGTTGCGAGAGGGACAGGCAGAGTAGGGCTTACCACCTTTAAGGGCGGCGGGGGGAGCTTCCTTGAAGAAGCACGAGCTATCCTGCGTCCTAAGTAGTAGCTACATAAGCTACTAGCTACCTAGCTACTACTAGCTACCTACCTACCTCTAGCGGCCTACCCCCCCCAAGCTTAAAAAAACCATGTACTTGCAATTTGGTGTCCTTTTGGCCTTGCTCCCCCTGGTGTGTCTTCCAAGGTTCGGTGGGCTGATCTTTCCGCAGCGGTCATTGAGACTCTGAACGGAAAGTTCTGTCGATTGATCCCTGGCGCATTGAGATGCGAAAGGATCTGTTCGATCTCAAGCGCAACGGACTTGCCACCAGGAAATCGATGTCCCACGTGCCTGAGACGCAGCGGCCAATTCTGGGCCCTTCGTAACTCTTTATGGACCAGAGTTTCGCGAGAGCACTGCAAAAAAAAGTTGCGTCGATGCAAAAAAGTGCAACAAAATGGCACCCGGTAGTTACTCCTCCCCTGCCCTCAGATCTTCTCAAGCCCACGGATTGACTATAGACTATGGATTCACTGGGAGGAACTTGGAAGGGTCACACGGCCATACATGGTCCATCCCCATCTCCCCAAGCCACCGCCAACGGCTTGGCTCCATCCTCTCTCGATCGGATCGGATCTTCCACCATGGCTCCGGCAGCGCATGCGGTCATGATAGGGGATCACCAGGTCTTCGTCCAGGTCTTCGGGAGCACATGAGCCCAAGCCTGGATTAGGAGTCTGCGGCACTTGCTGAGGAGCCTCCTCCTGGGTCGTGGAATGGGCAAAAGATCCGTAGGATTGGAAAGGAGAATCATCAGTTTGGCAGAGGCAACCCCATGCACATGCAGAACATTCGCCAGCCATATAACCCTAAGATTCAATATTAAGGCGCTTCGATGGCCTCTAGCGGACGTGACTCTGGTGTGGACTGACTGGAAAGTCATGGAAGATCTAGTATCTGCGAAGCTTGGATGTTGCAATCGGATGATAAACATCCGAGGTGAATGGGTTGCAGATGCTCCGAGTGGGTTTGCCAAAACAACTCCAGAGTCCATGGGGTCGTTCAAGGACTGGAGACGCTCCTCTTTCGATCCACGCTCTGCTTCCATCTCTTCTTGCTCCACCATCGCCATCAGACTTCCAACTACCTCGTGACTCTTGTCCTGGGTGTATTTTGCAGTGTTGCATCTTCCTAAAACTCATGAGGCCCCTATTGGCTAAAACCTATTGCTACAATGCAAAGGCTGTTGTCAAGTTGTCCTGCTGCATCCTAGAGGGTTGGGTCAGCAGTGTTGATCTCATGTTGAGCTTCTCAGTATCACAGCGAGTGGATCGAATTTGAATGAGATCACTGGGCTCACCAGGTCAAACATGAAACGGGGAGTTCCAAGAAAACGGGTTGCCAAGAAGTGCAGCCCAGCGGCTTCGGACTTCTTAGCCGCGTCCTGCCCAAGCAACAGTCCGTCGCATGTGTTGTCCAAGAGTTTCTCGATCATTGCCAGTTCCTTTTCAGCCAAGTCTTTCATTTGCTCTGCAGAAGGTTTCTGCCTTGCGGCTGGCACTTCCGCCGTGTCCCCCTTCAAGGACTGGTTCACCTGTTCACAGAGACAGTACAACATAAAGGACACATCATGGTGTGCAGGATCCGTGGATTCGACCAGGCGCTCATAGACCGACGTGTCGGTGCGCTCGATGGGATCCACCGATGGGATGACCACTCGATCCTCCGGCAAGGCACTCAACCATTCCTTGTAGCTGATGCGTCGTTGGGCAGCAAAGGAAATCGCCCCCACGATCACCCGGCATGGGTCTATAACTTCGAAACCTGCAGGGATCACAAACTCATCTCATTATATAGTGGAAAATACTGGAAGATGCAGAAAACAGCCAAACAGTCTGTGACACTTTTAGATTGAAGCTAATTACTGGTTCGCTTTGATCATATCTCACCTTGTGAAAGTGCCCACTCATGACAGTTATAGAGCTCAGTCACAATGGTTGAGGCCAGCGGCGTGCCAGATTCAGCGCCAAGCACCTTTTCTCGCAGAGCAGTGATGGCTGGGGGTGCACCTATCATCTTGGCTATTCTCCTCGTAGCTCCGGTCTCATCTGGCTCATCTATCAAGGTCTCACCAGCCAGGTGAATGGAAACAAATGCATCTGCCAAGTCAAAGAGACCTGCATCTTCAAGCTCATCCACTTCTTCGGGTGTGGAAGGATAACCAGAGACGATCACAATCAAGTCCATCTCGGAATCGTCCGATTCCATGGAACCTCCGTCGTCGATGGCTTTCTGCCGTGCCTCATTCACCTTCTTGCGCCGGCGACAGAGAAACTCAGCCTCCGCCTTGCGGCGCATGCCAGCGGCAAAGGTGCCACCCTCCGCGAAGCCTTCCAACTCATCACGTGTGAGCAATAAAACATTGGAGGTATGTGGTGCATCTCCTTCATGGTACCTGGACAAAGACTCCAGTGGATCAAAGTCTTGTACACCGACATCGCCTTCAGTCCCTTCAGCCTCAGCCTCAACGTGGAAGGTATGACTCACAAGGTGGGCGAGCACGAAGCTGAATGGCGGATCTTGAACCTCCATGCCCTCTGGGAGTTCCAGCAAGGCATCCTCGACGGGGAGGGCGACCGCAGGCGTTTTCCCTCTGGGCGGCATGGCGTCGAGGAATCAAAGCTAAATTACAATTGAGGCCCTTTAGCCTCCAACCACCGCACAAGCGATGGCCTAAGGGGAATTTTCCAGCATCATTTCTGCAAGGAAGACTCCCTCCTGCTACTGGAGGTTGAGCACATGGCAGCAAGATTTAAGGCCGTGACATCTCAGGAAAAGATTGGAGACGAGGAAACTGGAGTGTCATAGATAAGTGTATCCTCCCGATTGACAAACAGTCTCTAGGACGAGCCCAGGTCTACTAAGGATCGTTAAGAATGGACTCTTCTGCAAATGCCCAGGTGAATCGACGTTCCTCCCAACAAAATATCGCAGAGTAGACCAGTGTCTCAGAATTTGAACATCCATCTGAAGGCCTAGGACCATGGCCTGGCAGGCGTTTGCTTTAACGGGCGGTCATCGGTCAGCGCACCCGGCTGGGCTCTGTGGCAACTGGGCACGGAAGCAACTGAGTCCGACAAGTGGTGGGTAGTTCAGGCCGATTTCCTGTGGGAACTATTTGGACCTGCCTGTTGTTTAAAAGATCCCTTGGATCAAAAAAAGGTTTGTTTGGAGGTTAATGTCATGTTCATCTATAATCTTATTGGTCGCTTTTGAGAATGAGGCATGAAAAAAAACTGACTTCTGATTCTCGCACACCCTTGAAACCCGACTCAAAAGGATCATGAAATCTGATGTGGCGCTGAGCCCTGAACATTGTCGGCCACGTGGTTCCCCAGAAGGATGAGCACTGAGATTGACCTGACTCACTGTAAGGACGCCAGTCATTCATACCTCGCTAATCTACCACGGTACCAGCAGATTTCACTGCTACCAGTGCTTAAGATTCTAAGATTATGTGGAACCCTTACCACCACATCCCACCGCACAATCACACGCCTCATTCAAGGATCTCACCATCCATTCTTGGAGCTCGCGCGAGGCCTTGCAGGGTGAGCTCGCGTGTCGTCTCACGCGTCACGCGTCACTGTGCTTCGACCGTCACATGCGTCGCGCTCCGCGTCACTCGGCCTTCTCGGAGTGCTGCGCCATGGACTCGGCTCGCTCCAGCTGGGCCTTGAGTTCCAACCAGCTTTTTGTCTGGAACATCCAAGGTTTGGAGCGAACCGATTTGAAGCGAACCCAGAAGAGATTTGAGCTCCAAATCGATCACCTCTCCAATGTGAGAGAAGGCACTCAGCATCATCCCACCTTGAAGTTAGCTGCAGTAGCTTCCTCTTGATGGAGCAAGGCCTTCTGATGCTGAACCTCCTGGAGAATGAAGAATGGAGGGCGGGACTATCAGTTTTTCGATGAGGGGAGATGGCTACAGGATTTAGAACCTGGTGATGTTGGACTCTCGAATGCACACTTGACACGTTGCATCTGATGCAAAGCTTGTGAAGACTTTCAAAGCCTTAGCCCTTGGTTGCCTCTGTATCCAAAATCAGTGGCCTTGTTGGACCAATGTCATCAAGCGAAGACACAATGACACCACGACGATGACGACAGGATGCACGTGGTTTCTTTCGGCGAAGATAAGTGGGGGGTCAACCTGGTCCAGGGGATGGACGATGGCTGTGACAGAGGGTGGATGCCATTGGCTCCACCACAAATCATTTACGAAACTGGGTGAGGCAGCAGCTACAATTCATCAAGGCAGTAAAACAATGAGTGCCGGCCCCAGTGTTGGGTGATTTGTGTGATTTGCAAAGAGCAGCAAGACAGTCTCTCCGGCCCAAACAGCAAATCTTCTGTGAGGCACATGCTTTGTGTGGATCTGTTTGCCTCACCCTGCTCTATTCTAGGCTTGCACTGGTGCAGCCAAGGCAGCCTGACATGACAAAAGGTACAAAAACCCACAACTGTTGGAGATGTCTCTGAGTAACTAAAGAAGAAAAACTATCCAGCTCAACACAAGGGAGCACCCCGTGCCTTCACCACAGAAGGCACTGGCTTCACACCATCCTGTCATGTTGGAGTGTTGTTCACGCGAGGAGAGTTTTTTCAGGCCCTGCTTTCACCAGGTTCCGCTTGATCAAAGTTGAGAACAAATGTTCTTTCAAAAAAGGCGGGGACACTTTGGGACACAGGAAAAAATATGTTACCTCGAGTTACCCCCACCCGACCAGATTGGACAAATTTCTCTAAATATGAATTTCTATGCCGTGGTGTAAGAAACCTGGCCCGCATGAAGACCGGCTACTGTTTACCTGCCAGAGTTCGCCCAACAAAAAACTGACCAAAAGAACAACTGCATTGCAAGAGTAAGAAGAAGGGTTCCTGCCCGAAACAAACTACAATGAATATGATGAAGCATGATGTCACGATGTGACGTGTGATCGCATGATGTGCTGAGTGATGTTGTTGTCGTGATGCAGGATGACGATGAGTATGACGAGGATTAGGATTCATGATGTTGATGTTGATGTTGATGGTGGTGATTGTGATGATGATGATGATCATCATCATCATCATTATCATCATCATCATTATCATCATCATCCTGACGACGTGCGTGTGTGTGAAACCCTTGCTGTCACAGGGAACCTTTTTGGCTTTTAGCAGGGGAGCGGTGGGGGTTCTTGAAGTCACCGCTCAGCGAAGACACTTCAAGTTTGCTGTGATATGCAATCTGGACGGAGGTTGCACGTACCTGCAAGAAGATGATCACCTATTATTTCCTCCTTGGTCCCGTGCAGAACTAGAACAAGACTTATCGCTTGGCTTCGGTTCTGTGCTAAAGTGCTAATGAGCTTGACTGACCTGCTGCTGAACCGTGCCACACTTGGAGGCCTTTGAAGGATTTGCGATTTTCTTCATGTCATGTTGTGAGACGACTCTCCACTTAATACTTCAGGTTCATGTCCCTGGACCCTTAGGTTTTTACTTCAGGGCTGGCGAGTGGCAAACCGCAAATCGGCACTTTGCGCAATATCCCGAGTGTGTGGTGCGCACGTAATGAAGGCGGAGGGTGAACATGACAATGGGTTGAAAATGTATGCATGAAGACTGGTCAGAAGACGCATCCACATCACCAACGTAATTTCGCAACACCGTGCGCCAAATACAGGATGCAACAATGCGACACCAAGCCACGCATCATCGCGCTAACCAGCCACCAGTGGCGTTTGTTCACACGCACGTCTGCGCAAACACACTTTCCACCGAGGTCTCGCCAAACATGGCTGCCACAAACTAGATGCAACCATGTAACCGTAACCCCAAGGCCCTGTTGACACCACCAATCATTCCGCCCCAGCATATTGCGGTTCCAAAGCGCACATGTAGCGCGGAGTGACTTCAGGGAGGGAGAAACATGCATGCGCTTGTGGCAGCGCGTCCTTGGTCCAAAATGGCGGTTGGCCACTCGGAGCTCGCCACTTTGCGCATGACATTGTCCACTCCGCAACGACCGTTTCACGCTTTGGCATCACCATCCTCTCCAGGTTTGGCGACCGTTTCACGCTCGAACACGGTCTCCGTCTTCGACGCCAGTTGTTCTTTGGCATCACAATCTGCTGTCGGTCATCGTGCTTGGGCCTTGTCTGTATATTGTCAAGTGTTGTGTGTTGTGGTTTTGGCCAGCGTTGTTGTTCTTTATGTGTGTGTGTGTGTGTGTCATTGTCTGTTGTCTGTTGTCACGGTTGTCCTTGTATTATGTGCTGTGGTTATGTTTGGTGTTGTCATGAGTTGTCTGGTGTGGTATTTGTCATTGCGTGTCAAGTGTTTAAGTTCGCCATTGTGCATGTCATTGCTGGTTGTCTCCTGTCACGTTGCGGACCCCTCGATCGAGAGAGCGAGTAAGCAAGTGGGTGAGTGAATGAAGGAGTGCGTGAGGTGAGGTGAGGTGAGGTGAGGTGAGGTGAGGTGAGGTGAGGTGAG